AAAAAGACCATGTAGACCCTGTACTGAATACATTAAAAAAATTGAAAAACCAAGAAAATCAAAATGTATTAAACATGCAATCTCCCTACTCTAGTCTTTATTCATTTCAGGTATAATTTTCTTGTGACTAAAAATACCTGCCACCAGAACTCTTTGTCTTCCATAGTTCTTTTTTTCATTTCTCAATATATATGTTGGTTTACTTTTAAGAGTAGGAAATTGGTGACAAAGGATCCACAATATGAGGTATAGGGTCTCAGGATAAATCCTGAGAAGATTTCACTGACCTTATCAGATCCAAAAGCTACAATTCTTGTTACATAGGTCTTGGTTTATCTTGGTCTTAACCATCCAGCAGAAAAGTATAAAAATGAAATATAAGAGGAAAAGCCATGTTCTTATGTTGAGCTGTTGGGGACTCAGGTCAACAACTTCTGACATTGCAAGTCAAGCGGAAGAACCAATACTATTATGGACTACTGGACTCTTTTGGAATATTTTGCTGAGTTAACACACCTATAATACTTAAATGATGGAACTAAACCAAAAAAGGGGATATAGATGAATGACCATTTTGTATCTGTGTATTCAAGATGGTTAAGATAGATATATAGTTACATTCTCTTAATGAATAGAGGGATTTGTTCTAATAGTGTTTGTAAATAGGATATCATGTTTGCATCTTGTACAACAAATAACCACTAGGAAGGCAGTATGCAATGTGTAAATTATTGGAACTGTCCTACCGATTTGATTTGAAATTGTCTCATTGCTATTTATTTCTCAATAAAATTATGGGATAAAAAACCATGTAAAACTGTCTGCTTACTCACCCAAATGATGTGACTTAAAATGATGTGTGTGCATTTGTGATTGCATGCCATTGTGTGACTCTCTGTGTCCACCTGTGTGTGGCCGAGCATGCAAGAAACAGGAAACAGATGCAGGCCACACCAGGACCAGACATTTGGAAAGAAATAATGAGGATTATGTGCATCAGCTTATTATTTTGCCTTAGACTCTTGTAAAACAGCTTTCCATCATGGTTTCTTGGATTTCTGTGCTCTCTTTCAAACAGTAAATATGATTATTTATGGATTGAGGTTAAAAAAGAAAAGAAAGAGTAGGAAATTGGGAAATGCAACTAGCTCATGAGAGACAGGAGGAGTACCGGATGAGTTACCTTACCAGTAAAATATATTTCTAGAAGAGCCAGCCAAATAGCTCAGTGGATTAAAGTGCCTGCAAACAGGTGCGGGGCTGGGGGTTTGATCCCCAAGCCTGTCGTGCTGGCCCCGACCCCAGGGTACGCTGAGAAGGCGATTGAGACTGGGCATGGTGGCGCACGCCTGTAACCCCAGCACTTGGGAAGCTATAAACAGGTGGATCACTAAAGTCCTATCTAGTAGTGAGACCCTGAACACCCTGTAGACCCTTCCCTAAAATACAGGGGGAAAAACGTAAACTATATTTCAAATGAGGCCCTTTGTCTACTGTATAAGCAGAATAAAGAGGAAATGGTTCTCTGACAAATAAGTGATCCTGTCATCAGGCTCTGGGTCTCCCAAGCATTTAGTATCTAGCTTGTGGAAGCTCAGTAACAAACACAAGCAGAAGATAGATTGCTATCTTCAGAGTCCAGTAAGCTGCTTTACATGCAGGCTTTAAGTCTGAAACAGGTTTCCAGTGTTAGGATTTGACCTTGACCTGGCCTCTAGAGGACCTCCCATGGAAAGTCTGGCTCTCAGCGAGCACAGCACCCAGAAGAGGGACCAGTGATCTGGAGACAGGAACTTGGGCCAGAATATCAAATCTTAGAGGTGCAAGGCTGAATTGAAAGAAGCCCAAACAGCAGACCCCAGCCACAGTCTTGTCCCACACCTTCCTCATCCCTTCCTCTGGGGTGTGTTTATAGGGACAAGATTAGCTGTCGGAGGAGAGAACAACTTTCAAGCACAAATTTGCCACAAGTCATCTTGCCTCTCATCCTCCACATAGCCTCCCTGAGCAAGCACAGAAAAATTATAATTTGCCAATCTCCCATACCAATCACTATTCTCTACCTCCATAATACATCAAAAATTACACATGGACTTTTCCAGAAGGAATAAAAATCCTTAAAAGTCTTAGTAGAAAAGGATAGCTTACTTTGATAGCTCACAAGTAAGGGTATATTTCTTAAACAAAGACAGAAGCCAGGCAGGGTGGCACACACCTGTGATCCTAGCACTCTAGGAAGCTGAGTACAGCTTACCAATTTAGTGAGACCCTGTCTCAAAATAATAAAAAAGAATGGGGACATACAGCTCAATGTGTGTGTGTCCTGGGCTCAATTCTTAATACAAAATATAAATAAAAACAAATAGATAGATAGATAGATAGATAGATAGATAGATAGATAGATTTAAAAAGCACAAATCAGAAAAGAGAATCAACAAATTTAATACCACTGAAATTTAAATCTTTGCATTTAAAAGGGGGTAAAAGGAACACCACAAATAAAATTAAATAGCAGACAGGGAAAGAGTATTTCCAAAGTTTAAAAAAATAGTGCACATAATACATTAGGAACTTTCTCAAATCACTACAAGGATAAAGTAGAAAATTGACAAAGGAATAAAATAAGCAATTTGCTGAAGAATAAATCAGAATGCTCAATAGCTGAGGAGAGTTCTGCTTCAGAGATTGTGGATTCCATACACTCAGAAAAATTAAAATTAGAATGAGGTTGCATAAATAAAATTTAGCATCAGAAATACAACAACAGCAAGACTAAATGGTGTAGAAGAACTGCTGCTCTCAAGCAGCGAGGATTTGGTAAACTCTGACTCTGATCAGTTACTCCCTTTTAACTCCCTTTTAACCTTAAAGCTCATTTTCTTGCCGAATCCAAAGTTCTCCATCCTCGGTAAGCTGAGGATGTGGGGCACTGTGAGGATCCAGGTGTGTGCGCTGGGACAGAGCTGGTGACCAGGAGCACCCTCCTGGGTGAAGATCTTTCCTTCACGTTGCTCCTCACCTGGGACATGGCCTTCTTCCCCTCAGAGACATCTGGGAGCAAAGCTCAGTACCTGAAGCCATGCCGTGGGGCCTGGGTGTTTTGGAAGCCAAGAGCCTCCAGTTTGTGAATAGGCTCTGTGAGAGGCCACAATCTTCTCTGTGGCCATTCAAATTGGACAGATTGTGAGTGATCACAGGTTCTTTGATGTATCTTTCCCCAGTAACTAGGCTCCAAATCTGCCCCACAAAACTGGCTACCTATGAGAGCATGACTAGCGAACACCACGTAAGTGCCGCCTACCAGACATGGCCCAGACCTTAAGACACTGGAACCTCTGCTGCCTGCTTCTTGCCACTGCCTTTGGGGGAACCTGGGTGCTATCTAGGAAATACAACTATACCAAATTCCCTATGCTACATGGAAGCCTGTACTAGTCATGTGGAGGAGCCACAGGAAGGTGACCCTGCCTAGCAGCCCTGTCACAGTTATCCTAGCCATGACATGTGAGGGGGCAGCCGGTGAACTGAGACCCAGCCACCTTGCCACTGTGGTTGTCTGAGAGCCCCAGGCAAGAGCTACCTGCCCCGGTGCAAACCTACAGGGACAGCCACCGCACAAACGGATAAGTGACAAGAGTGGGTAAGATGCAGAGAAATCAAAAACTGTTGCATTATTGATGGGAATTTAAAATGGTACAGCTGCCAGGAAGACAGTACCAGTCTCTCCAAAACTAAACATAGAATTCCCATATGGCCCAACGAATTTGTG